CAGAAAAAAAAAAACAAAAAAGAATACAATAAAGAAAAGGCATAAAAGGGAGAGGGGAGGCAAAAAAGGAAGAAGGGAAATAAATAAATAGAGAAGAACAAGGGAGAAAAAAAACATATATAAAGAGAAATAAAAGGACATAAACAAAAGATAAATAAATAAAATAAATAAATAAAATAAATAAATAAATAAATAAATAAATAAATAAATAAATAAATATCTTACCTCTACCTCCCATGTATCATCTGATTCATCAAATCCTTTCCATCGAACTTTAAAATAATCCTACAAAATAAATTAAATAAATAAATAAATAAATAAATAAATAAATAAATAAATAAATAAATAAATAAATAAAGAATGAATAAGTAAATATAAATAAATAAATAAATAAATATAAATAAATATATATAAAGAAATATACATACGAATACAAATAATAATAAATAAAAAGCAATAAAAAGGAATAAAAAAAAAGAATAAATAAAATAATAAAAACAAAACAAAAAAAAAAATAGACACCTAATGATGTGTATATACACCTCAGGAGGAAATATTTAATATACTCCTTTCTTTATTAGCTCTCCTCTTTGTTAATTAGGGTTTAGGGTTTAGGGTTTAGGGTTTACAGATGGTGTACTAAGGGAAGAAGAGGGGGAAATAAAACATAACAAAAAGAAACAATAATATTAATAATAATAAAGATAATAAACATAATAATAATAATAATAATAATAATAATAGTAATAAATAAATAAATAAATAAATAATTATTCTTTTTTTTTTCTTACAAGTCCTCTTTCTTTTTTATGTGCAACGATGTCTTCTACTTCATACTCTTCGGACTTCACCGAATATTTCTCCTTCTTTTTACTCCCTAAATAAATAAATAAATAAATAAATAAATAAATTAATTAATTAATTAATTAGTTAATTAACTAATTAATTAAATAATATAGTTATTATGTATGTATGGAGAAAGACGAACAAAAAGATATATTTATCACCTAGTTCTTGTTGCGATAACGTCTTCTGCTGCTGCTGCTGCTGCAGTTGCTGCAGTTGCTGCTGTTGCTGCTAGTGTTGCTGCAGTTGCTGCTGCTGCTACTAAAGAGGATGTTAACTCACCCTTCATTGTGTCTAAAGGAGAGGAAAGAACAAAGAAAAAAAGAATTCCTTCTCCTCCTGCCTCCCTCCCTAATGGTGTATAGGGAGGCGTGTCTGTTAAGAGTTAAAAAGAAGATATAATTAAAGAAAATAAAGAAAGAGAAGAAAGAAATAATGATAAGAGTTGTATATATAAAGGAATGAGCTGTATGTACAGCTCAAGCGACGCAAGAAGAGGCAACTGGAGGCATCAATATGTTGTTGATGCTGCAGATCTTTTAACTCTTTTAACTCCTTGAGTTATTTAATTAAATAAAGAATTAAAATTAATGAAAGAAAATAACAAGAGAGCAAACAGCCCCAAAGAGCGTCTGCTTGCTTCTGTTGCAGACAATACAAGCAGCAGCAGCAAACTCTTTGTGGGGGGCGATGCAACACTTGGCCCTCTTCTTTGTATGGAATTCAAAGTGAAAAAGTAGGAAAAATAAACAAAAAGATAAAATAAAAGAATTCAATTTCTTATCCTCACCAAGAAATACACAAACACAGCCCCTGTTACCTACAAGGCACTGGTAGCAGTGATGGGGCTTATTAATAATATAATACAAGACCGTGTACAAAGAAGGGAATAAGCCTAAGAAAACTCTCCTCTCTAACGAACTTCTTTATGTTTCCCTTCATTTTTTATTATATTTCTATTTATTTAAATAAATAACTACTCTTATTGGGCTCATTAAGGGGCCCCATCAACCGCCGCCGCACGGAGGAGTGGTGGCACTCTGAGTGTACGTACACTACAACACTACCACAGCCACTACACACCCACCGGGTAGAAGGCATCATAAAAGCCCTAATTAAGAAATGTTTAATGTTTAATTATTAATCCCCAATTAATTCAATGCAAATAGCATTATGTTATTCATGAGGTCGCTAACAAATAAATATGCAAATATAAGGATGTAACTTGACCTGTAACACAGCAGCAAGACCTTATTATAAGCAACAAGAGAGTCAATATGCATAAGATTAGACATCCTTACATGCAATTAATACCATTACCCATTCTCCCCTCCTCCTGAGCTCACAGGCTCAACCGCCTTGTGCTGAAGGAGAAGACAATGGTTGCCACAAGTTGGAAGACAGCTTGCTGCAGCTGATTATCGACGAAGAGACTCCAACTGTCTTGAGTATAAGGGGATGACGATGGTGAGGAGAAAGTGCCAGACTCCATCACGAGTTGCAGCACACCTTGCATGCAGTAACACTATGAATACTTACATAATGCTCAATAGCAGCATGCATGCAAGGAAGTAGAAGTATACGTATAAGCTTCCAACGGAAAATGCTACATCCGTCATCTTAGTACATTTAAGGATTCTCCCTTTAGTTTTGCCTACGTGTGCTGTTCCTTAGACGTTAACTAAATTGTAATTCTCCAAACCACCGGGTCGGCGTGAGATCAGCATGCCGGGTTGCATGCATTCCTCCAACATTTTCGGGAGCGAATTTGCATTGCATAGAAGCTTATGTGGTCCCTTCTCGTTGACACATTGGTCGCACTCCTCTCACTGCAGATTATGCAGGTGGAGTTAAGGACGCTAATAGAAGCCTTCGCATTGTTTCGTGGGACATACACCTCAACAATGCCTTTTAAATGCCACAGTCGTGCCGTTTACTGAGTAACCTGCGGTGTGTCTGGCACTATTCCGTGGAATATCTGTCCATGGTAGACACTCCATAACTTTTTTGGGAAGGCGGTGCTCCGCTAAGACAGAGCCCATGGACCCCCCCCTTCCATGCATGTAGCTAGCAGCCTGTGCTCTAAACCCGAAAACAGAGTTCTAGAGGAAAAAGAAACTCTTCATATCCGAGCAGTGCCAAAGGGGATGACATTCGTAACGAATTATTATTTCTATAAAAACATTTAAAAACATATTGCCGTAGGCGCTCCTGAAGAATTGCTTCGCTCAACCAATCCACAGAAAACCCTCTCGGGTTGGGTTAACTCCCTCGAGTCGTTACTCAGCCCAACACACAAGGTTCTCCAGTAAGCAGTAGCAAAGCAGAGCGTTGCACTAACTAGCGAGTCAAGCATTTCGCAGTATGGACACAATGAGAAAAGGGCAGGGGCAAGAAGAGTACGGGCACCGGGGATCGAACCCGGGATCTTCTGCGTGTAAAGCAGACGTCATAGCCACTAGACCATGCCCGCTCCTCTGACCCTCCACGCCAGTTGTACGCAGCAATTTCAGCATAAGTTTAATTTGCCAGAGCTATCTACAGCGTAGAGCAACGAGCCAAGCTTTGCCTCAGAATGGTATCTAGTTTACTAGCTGACAGGCTACCTCCAATGCGACAACTGCTCCAGCCTGCTGAAAGGTTTATAAATCTTCTTGAGGTGTCTCATGTACAGACAATTCTTTTTATTCTTATTGCCTCTTTATGTGCGAAAGCCGGCCTTCCACGGGGTGTATCACCTTGGGGCACCGCACCAGAAGCTATTGTGTATTTTGTGTGGGAGTGCGTAGGCCTCTGCCATAAAGGCACTTCCCACTGCTTTATTATTATTATTTATTCCCACTGCTTTATTGTGGTTCCGTAGCTAGGACCACGCAGCAGATGCAGCATACGATTTCCTTCTTGTGCTGCTGCTGGTGTAGAAGCTGCTAGTTGCACCTGCAGCAGCAGTCGACGACGACGAGCTGTTGATAACTACTGCTGCTGCTGCGGCTCACGAGCACAATGCACCAATAGACCACCTTGCCTGCAACTTGTGCTGCCCCTGCTGCTGCTACTACCTGTTAATGGTCTTGCTGCTGTATTCTCTACAGCAAATGCAGCAAATGCATCAAAGTCTTGCTGTCTAAGGCCTAATTCAAAGGAACAATTCTCCTGTGCTGCCTTTGTGCTGCCTGCTGTTAGTACTGCTTGCTGCAGTCCATCTACTACCTTATCCAGTGCAGCAGCAAAAGGTTCTGCTGCAGCAGCAAAAGGTTCTGCTGCAGCAGCAACATCGAACCATGTTGCTGCATACAGAGGTTCCCATGGCAGCAACTCCGCCAGAGATGACTGTCTTCTACATGGATCCCGATCCGTTGTTGCAGGTCCCCCCCCTTGTGTTGCTTCTTCTGCTGCTGCACCTTGTGCTGCTGCTACTACTGCTGCTGGTGCACCTATAGTTGCAGCAACACTAGCAGCATGACGAGGATTACGATTAACAGCAACAATAGGAGCAGAATCACCCTATAGTCAATACAACGAGAAGAAGACGATGGAAAGTTAAGCAACAAAATACTACCAGGAGAAAGATCAATAAAATGCTCTAGGGAAGATAAATTGGGTTATATATACGCCTGAGTATTATTACCAGCAGCAACACATAGAAATGCACGCCTTGAACAGCATGCAGCTGAACATATGCAGGGGAATGACATAATTACCAATTGATCAATGAATGTAATTTAAAATGTTAATAATATTATTAAGAACACCGCCAAGTATTTAGTGAGCGAGCCGGGGTACAACAACAGATGATGCTGCGGAACACCAGTGCCCGCCCTCTTAATACGTGCATTGCCTAACTAGGAAATACTCTTTATAGTAATTGAACACAAGAAAAGAAAATAAAATACATTTCTTTAGCGAAGTTGTCAACAGAAACAATAATTGTACTGCATGCGTGCATGTTTAGCCACGGAATGCACGCAGTCAGTCTCACACAGCCCCAAGCGCTCCCACCTGCTGTGCCTTGTTGGCACTGCACTGAGGACAAGTAGGGAAAAATAAATGCGCCAACATCTTTTATAGTTATTTTGTGGTGTTTGCTGACATTTAGCTGAGGATCCCCTCCCCATTGTTGTGCGTTTTTTGTTTTTTTATTCTCCTCGGCTAAGATGCAGGCTCCTCCTCATCTGCCGGGGGCAGCTATGCCTGCTGTGACAGTTGCAGCAGCAGCAGCAGCAGCGGCAGCAACAGCAGCAACAGCTGCTGCAGCATTCCCATCGGGAGCCCTCCCTGGAGTACCCTTGTCGGTGCCTTCCCTTGGCCACCAGTTGCAGCCGCAGGTGGCTCAGGCAGCAGGAATGCAGCAGCTTCATCAAATGCAGCAAATGCAGCACATGCAGCGAATGATGCAGGCTGCTCAGTATGGTGAGTCCTTAAGACCTTGGTGGACCTACAGCAGCAGGCGGTTCCTTGTGCACCTTCATCATCTGCTGGTAGAGGTCTGTTTGTAGCCCAAGTAGCGCTTAGATATACATATATAGACCCAATTCCCTTCTTGCCTACTGTGGCTGTTGTTTGCTCTTTTGTTGTTTTGTTACAGCTATGCAGGTGCCTCAGACCGTTGCAGCACAGGCAGACCCAAGAGCTCAACTTTCTTTGGATGCGACGCATTGCGTACGTCTTTCTTGTCTCTGTTGTTGTAGCTGCAGTGCAGTTTATTCGTTATAGGGGATTCTTTTGTTGCTTTCTTCTTCTCCCTGCCACTTTTAATGTATTTGCATACTTTTCTTTCTTTGCATTTGTCTGCTGCATGCGCATGCAGGCAGTTCAAAATCTTACGGCAGAAGAAGCCGCCTCTATGGGCAGCGTCATGGCATCAGCAGCAACCACAGAGAAGAAAAAAGTTCATCTTCGTAAGGCTGCAGGACATATATGGAGTGATCCAACATTAGACGAATGGTCAGAGAACGACCACAGGTAAATTGGGGCAGTTAATCCGGGTGGGAGGGGGGAGAGGGGAAGCAGAACATCCATGAGATGCTCGTAGAGGCTACTAGTTCTACCGTAGGTTAGAGAGAGAACTGCATACAAGGTGGGAATTGTGAATATATAATGTAACTATGCATCTATCTATTTATGTTTTGTTAGTTATGAGGGGTTCATTTGCTTATTTGTGCTCATTGTTGTTGCAGAGTATTTTGCGGAGATCTCGGTAATGAAGTCACAGACGAAGTTCTTGCCAGTGCTTTCCGCAAATATAAATCCTTTGATAAGGCTCGTGTTGTTCGCGACAAGCGAACAGGAAAGACCAAAGGATACGGTAAGTGTGGTTGCTGTGTAACTGCATAGAGCCTATTGCAGTTTTTGTTCCTGTACCCGGTAGAGGGGAAACCTCAGCAAAAGTTCGACTAATGCTGCGGTTGCTCCTGCAGGCTTCGTCTCCTTCATGGATCCAAATGACATGCTTAAGGCAATCAAAGAAATGAACTACAAATACGTAGGCAACAGACCAATCCGGGTGCTCCGCAGCAAATGGAAAGACAGGTGAGCATTCGACGTTTGCGCGCTGCCTCTCGCAATAACGGTATTTTTGGCTATTTAAGATTACCTATTAGAGGCTTACCAGCAAGGGAATACGGAGATGTATTTGAGGACAGACGGGAAAATGCATATTCAGTTTGATACCGCTTCCTGGGATTTCAGAGCCATTTGCATGCGTTTTGCAATTTTTGCTGTCTTCTCAGGGAGATCGACTCGCAGAGGAACAAACAGATTGCTGTGAGTCCAGTTCCATTTCACTGCGATTGCTTTTAAGCACGTTTGTGCCTTCTTTTCGTGGCATGCGACATCTGTTCTGTCTGTTTGATCCTCTTTTCAGAGTATCGTCAAGAAGGTGGAAAAGAACGACTCGAAGACGTTGCGAAAGTTTAAGAAACTGGGCGTTAACATTAATGGAGGCAAAGCCGGTGAGTCTATCCAATTCAACCGTATCTGATTCCCTTGTGACCACGTCACTTATTTTAGGCAATTCCGTATGTGTTGCATTTTCACGCCGAGGGTTGAAGTTGATTATATTTGCGGTGTGGGTATTCTGCTCAGCAAGGAACCACGAAATCTTGGCTAGCCAGGCGCCGAAGATTAGGAAGAACTACGTGCCGCCTGTAGCTTACGGCCGAATGACGTACCAGTACATCAAAGGCGCTGCGCCTGCGCTTCCAGCCCCAGCGCCTGGTACGGGAGCCTCTTCGCATTTGTTAGATGATATTTGAGTTATATCAGAAGGCTATGTGCAAGACTGCGACCACAACATCCATGGACGAAACGCGCCACTCACGTTTACATCAGCCCTCTCCGAATTTTTAGAGACAGGGCATCAAGACTGGAACTAAAGACAGAACAACTTGCCAAGACGATAGGCAAGTTTACAAGGCGTTTTTCTCGGAGGCGCCCTGTCAGGTTGGATGTCTCGCCATGCGGTACCAAGAATTTGGTATGGTTGTTGTCGGCATAAGGAAGTGCAATTTATCACCCACGACCGCCAACTGACACACGGTTCAAAGAGTAGCGGGGATGGAAGTGTTTTAGCTTTTGTTGGTATCGTCTAGGCCCGCTTTGTTGGCAACTATGGCGTTGGACGGTATTTACTCTTTGTTGGTTTTGTGGCATTCAGTAGTAGAATGGGTAGAAGGGGAGTAGGTGGAGGCGTTGGCATTGGAGAGTGTGCGATAGTTACTTTGCTGGTTGCGGTGTGGATTTCGTGCATGTTATCTGACCAGCCATTCGAGTAACGGTGCCTAATCGCTCCCGGCCGTTCTGTAAGAAGGCACGCCTCATACAGTTCTCCAGAAACCGAAATGAAGTTTTTTTGCGTATTGCATTCACTACTGCCAGCAATGAAACGGGGAAGTGAATAGGTGGGGTGGTGTCATGCAAGTCCACCATCTTCGTTTAGAGAGTTTTTTCGTAGTTCATCTTTTGTGTTGACGTAGAGCATGGTACAGCGCAACTAGGAACAGCTCTTTCTGCTCATAAGGCGCAGAAGGAGCAGCCTTCCAGAAATGGTGAGCAGAGGTGTATCTGAGGAAAGCGTCTGTACTAGCTAGGGTACAACGCCTAGATGAATCACCAAAGTAGGAGAGAGGAGCCGATGTTGTAATAATTAGGAGGGATCCTTAGAGTTATCCCTCAGTTTCCGCCGCTTTCCAACACAGGAAAGTATTCCGTCACGCGCGGCACTGGCTACAGAGCTCTGGTGTCGAGACAGCTGAGCACGCTCAACGGAGCACATTGGTGACGCGCCGTCAGAACTCCATTGTGTCTGATTTTGAACTTTTGGTTAGAGGGTCGTTACATGCTACCCGATTTGACCAAATAAAATGTCGGCCTGTCAAGTGGCTTTGGCCCCTGAGGCTGGGGTGATCGTACCCAAGAACAAGATCGATGACAGTCTTCTGAACATCCTCGTGAACGACCCGGCGGGGGCGTCAGTTATAGGTACGAAGCTTATAGCTTACCACTTCGGGACAGAGTCATACAACGAATGTTTACAGGCCTCCCTGTGCCCAACGAGCCTGAAAGTGTTACTGAAGAAAAGAATGAAGCTGATTTGGCTCAGCAGGCGGAAGTTCTCTCTGGATTCCCCCGCCGTTACGCTACTGTTGAAGAAGTGGATGATGCTATTGGCAAAAATCGTAGCCGAGTTAGTTTGTGATTCTTTTGAGCCGCTAGTCGACTGCCAGTTTATTTCGTACCTCAGTTCCTGACAGCACTGGCTATTGGAATCCTTACTGAGTTGTTCCTGTTCTCCATGACCATATCCCCCTTCCACACTGGTGGCGTTGCGCGTGCTCTCGCCCAGACGTTGACTAATGTCAGCAACCTCTGGTAAGACTTCTTAAGGCTGACAACAGAGGGGAAAGTTTAATCAGCCCCGTTTCGAATTCCCCAGGAGGTTTACCATCGTGGTCCGCGGCATCTACGTCGCCACTCTCTTTGCGTACTCCTCGAAGGCATATTTCGCTCAGTCGGCAAAAAGCGGCGACTGGCGTGCCGTGTGCAACGTCGCCCTAGGTGGAATGCTGTTGGAGTTGGTGTTCACGCTTCTTGTCAAGAGGCTCAACATCATAGCTTTCGTAACTAGAGGATTGATCGGTAGGCTCCATACAAGAATGATCAGCTCAAACAAATTGCTCATGCGCGAGTTCAGCCTTTTACGCGACAACTCTGGCGAGCATCATCGCGGCAACCAGCAGTGAATACGTCGCCGTTACTCCTCCTGCGGCCGACGTCTAATACAACATCATGCGCGTCGCCCGTCACGGGCTCAACGCTTTTGACCTGGCATTCACTAAGACGAATCTTTTGAAAGCTTTTCGACTAGATTCTCCTAACGAAACAGAAATGTGAAATTTTGCCAAAATGTCATGACGCGCAGTTTCTTAGCGTTTTTGCTTCACGGAAAAAAGATACGGCGAACCGCCTAGTGACGGAAAATGAAAGCTTTTAGTGTGGTAGAGTAAGAGTGAAGCTGCTGTAACAGGATGCAGAAGCGGCATACTTCCTGTTGGAGCAACATCACTGCCAAGTGACAGCAATATGTCCGGTTTGAAGTCACATCTTTCTGCTCGTGCACCTTCTCTCTTCCTCTCATTCGATATTGCTGGAGCGTCGCCAGAACTTCGAACTCGGCCGGTGGAAGCAGAGACGCTCCGCCGGCTATTGTGAAACTGTTGTGCGGCACTGATCAAGCTGGAGTCCAGCACAAGACAAACACCTTTCTTTTGTTTCCTCTCGAAAATCCCCGATGTCCTCACCGGGATACCACCTTCGTGCGGAACACAGATTGCAAGATCTTTATCATTACACAACTGAATGAGCTCCTTCACAGTACCTCGACGATATGGTAGCCAAAACAGCGCCCCCTAAGGCAAATACGCATAAAGTAATAGATTGCAAATATTCCAACGGCCACAGCATGCCCACTGCATCTGGAGTGGAATTATCTTTTTAAATGACATACCTGTGAAGCCCTAATTGCGAGTGGGTTGAAAATATCAGGGCACGACGGCAGGATCCAAGCACCTTGCCACTGCAGTGCGGCTGCTGTCCTGAGTAAGGTCCCAACGACTCCTGAATCTAAAAACTCAGGATTGGACCTTGACACCACTGGCATCCGATCCTTCTGCGTTTGACCAAGTGACGAAGGGATGTTTCCCAAGCATAGCAAGAGCCGTATATTGCCCAAATCGTTGGCTGGCTCTGGCATTCGCATTTCAGCAACACATCCGTCATCGTAGGATTGAAAACCGGCCACCTGAAGATAATAAGCATTAAACAAACCTTTATGCTTGTTGTTCCACTTGGATTTAAGCGAATTACTAACTCTTCCCAACATAGCTATTTGACATACCTTACGCAAAATCCTGTTGCTGACGAAGTGCGTTTCAACGTTTGTGTTTAGTCGCGGGTACGCGCTTGCAGAATCGGCATCGCGCTTGCTGATAGTAGGCAGTTGATTATTATCTGGCGAGGCAGACGTAGTAGATGTAATCACAGGATCCACATATCTGTGCAAAAAAGGTAAAGAAGCATGTAGCGCCTCTAAACTGCGACGGCGAACGGCCAGTCGCCTACAGGGGAAGTTCCTCAAAAGCTCGCATACAAGAGTTTTGCCTGTAACGATAACACTCTTGCGCAGGTTCCTGCAAGCAAAGACACCGAACTGCTCGAGAGTAATTCATGGGTACCGCGTAGGATTGTAGTAATCAACGTCAGAAATTTGAGAACTGAGTGCCACAAACGTGTTGTTTACCTGTAAGCTGGGTTCCCAGCGACGCGTAGGAGATGTTTAGATAGCGGATCTTCAAGCCGTTTCACATTTCTGCTCCGGCTTCCATCTCTTAGTTGGGCTTGTAGACGTTTCTCGAGCCTCTCCTGGTGGGTGGCGGCATCGATAGGTAAAGGCCCGCCTTTGGTTGCCCATGAGCGTGGTGTTTGAATCTCTTCTCTTGAATTAGGGTTATCTAATACGGGTAAGTTCGAAGTCGTGGGAGTCCGCTTAGGAGCCTCCCCAGTCACAGATTTCATTTCGATACCATTGCAAATCACCGTTCCAGCCCCAACGACGACTACACACGATGAGGCTGTTCACCCGTAGGCAAATTAGAAAAGGATAAAATTAAATTATACATTGGAGAGCATTAAATGTAAAGAAGTAAGGATTTGCGTTTAACTCGGAGTATAAGCAGGAGTCATTACCGCCCCGCTTCGGGGCTGCCGACGAGGGGCCCAACCATTTGTAAAGACGGACTGAAGAGATGGAGTCAATAATTTGGCTCTCTACTACTATTTAGATTGTTTTTCTCTTTCCTTTCTTGGTTCTTTGATTTTTTCTTATGTGTGGCCCTCACTGCGTGCTTGGTTTAATGAAACTGCTCTCGTGTTCCCCCCAGCTTCAGAGCAAACCGAGTTGCGAATGAAACGCCGATTTAGTTAGTAGATTGTCGCTAAAAGAAAATGATGTGTAATAAACGATATGAGATTTGTATGCCAATGTCATGTCTGTGTTGATTATTTACCAGTGTTTTCTATGCCAAACAATTATTCAGTTTTAATGCAACAGTTGTCGGACGCAGTAGTGTAGAGAACCCCTTTCATATAACTTCATAAGAAAGGGGTTGGAAAGTTCATATGTTCTTACAATGTCACAAGACGGTTGATTTGCTTTACAAAATGTAATCCTTCTGCCGAATAATATCATCTGCCTGTCGCTATGCAAGCTGGACGGTATTGCCGGTATTTCTTTCCCATGAGGATTTCCTCTTTTTTTAGACCCATTAAAGAACGTTCAAATAAGTCGTTAGGAAGTCATTCTTATGTATATCTTCTCTATTTGTTGTTGGCCTTCATCTGAGATACTTGTAATCCCATTGAAGGTGTTCCTCCATTGTGTTATGTTTAACTAAAGAAGTATCTGTGC